TTTTCTAGCAGGATTTGGCACCTGCCCACACTGCCAAATGCACCAAAAGTTGGTTAAATGACCATGGTGTTGGTGTGCTTTACTGGCCAGCAAACTCACCAGACCTGAACCCCATAGAGAATCTATGGGGTATTGTCAAGAGGAAAATGAGAAACAAGAGACCAAAAAATGCAGATGAGCTGAAGGCCACTGTCAAAGAAACCTGGGCTTCCATACCACCTCAGTAGTGCCACAAACTGATCACCTCCATGCCACGCCGAATTGTGGCAGTAATTAAAGCAAAAGGAGCCCCTACCATGTATTGAGTACATGTACAGTAAATGAGCATACTTTCCAGAAGGCCAACAATTCATTAAAAATTTTTTTTTTTATTGGTCTTATGAAGTATTCTAATTTGTTGAGATAGTGAATTGGTGGGTTTTTGTTAAATGTGAGCCAAAATCATCACAATTAAAAGAACCAAAGACTTAAACTACTTCAGTCTGTGTGCATTGAATTTATTTAATACACGAGTTTCACAATTTGAGTTGAATTACTGAAATAAATGAACTTTTCCATGACATTCTAATTTATTGAGATGCACCTGTAGTATGCACTGGATTCTGTATTATCAGTATAACATCTGGGCTTGTTAAATAATAACATAGAGCGCTGTGTGACATGCAATGCTCTACTTGACTTTCCATTTTCAATGTGACAAATGACCCAGAATTTGTGCAAACCAAGATGATGATAACGACACTCACTTCATTATACATGCAATGTGATGTGACATTTTTCTTACTATATTTACATTTTTACAAATGTAAATATTTAGCAAATTCTTTTTCCCTTTCTTAAAGTCCTAGCAATGCGACTGTATTGTCTTATTTATATAACTTTTAGGTAATTAATCATTTTTTAGTCACAACTCGGTTTAAAAGGCTATCTTACTATATTTCTTAAATTAACTTTTACATTTTGCATATTTAAATATTTAAATGAGCTAATTTCCCCTTTCCTATAGAATGTTTTTAAATGACTTATTAGAAGACTCCGTATTAATTTAACAAAATTGCTTATGAACGGAAATGATGGTCATTGAATCTATTCACTGTGAATCTATTTATTTTAATTTTGATTCATTTTAATGAATTATTTTTTTTATTCATTATCTTTAAGTAGGCAGCATGCTGGTGTTGCATTGTGAACATCAGATTCTGTCCTGACTCATCATGAGGAGAGCTGAGGAAAGCTGCGGGTGAGGTTTCATTTCCATTCAGGCCTGTTCACTCGTCTGTCATCGGCTCTGCTTTAGTTTAATCCAGTCTGATGTCTTCTTGTAGTGACCTGTTGCATTTAAACAGATAATACCGATGTCCCGTCCCAAATGCCTTTAATGTGTTCACATTTTTCTGTCAGCACCTTATAAACGTCCCACAGTAAAACCCTGTATGATAGTTCAAGGTGTTCGGCGTAAGCTCGATGTATTGATGTGTAGATCCTCGTAAATTCGCCCATGTGAAATCCCAGAGCTTTTCTCGCAGGAGATGGACAGAGATTTATGGAGCTGAAGCGATCTGACAGCCTGCGTTTTATTTCCTTTTATTATTCACGCACAGCTCAGGTCTGCTGACTGCGTTAAGCGTCCTCACTGCAGCGCTGCGTGTGTTAACTTACAGTACATGTGCTGTCTAACTCTTCACTGAAGGTTTAAGGGGGACAGTCTTAGAATAGAGCTCTGTTTTTAACAGCACATGCTTTCATTCACACAGTGTGCCTATCATTTGACTATTACATTAATATGAGTCCGAGCTCTGCCTCGTGATTAGCACATTTGACACATTACAGCTGAGCTGATTTTAGGCTTAATGCACATAACATTTCCTGTTCCTGTAATTATTATTATTATTATTATTATTATTTAGTAATTACATTCGATAGTTTTGTTCAATAGTAAGGCACCTATAGACACCAATATTCAATAGTTAATAATAATAATTGTTCAATATATAGGATGTTCAATATATACACCAATGTTCAATAGATTATAATAATTATGATTATTATTATATTATTATTATTATGATACTTGCTTTTGTATAATGGTTATAATGTTCAAAATATTCACAATGTTCAATAGATTATAAATACTATTCTATATATAATTCTAATTCTATCTTAATGTTGCTTTATACAGTGACAACAGCTGCAATATGCTGTAAAACACCAATGTGCAATTGTTTGTTTATAATAATAACTAACAATAATTATTAATATGATTATTATTATTCAATAGTTATGTTATAATAATAATAATAATAATGTACAGTGTTGGCCAAGGCATATTTAAGAGGTTTCAGTTGTTTTTGTTGAATTGGCCATTACAATACCCATAAAATGAACTATTGCCGGAACCTCCTGCGATGGAAGGAATCTGCTGGAACATTGAAAATGATCTGTCCGGACCTCCACCCCATCAAGCAAATTTGGGGCGAGTTGGAAAATAAACTGGACAGATCTATTGTATATTCAAAGGAAAGCCTTTGGCTTGAGCTGCAGAAGGCATGGGATAACATTAGTGTTAAAGTTCTGAGGAAGTATATTGACACTATGCCAGAGAGATGTGCTGCTGTCATTGCTGCAAACATACCAAGTCATGGATAAAAATCGTACAACTCGCTTCATCTGATATTTGTTGTGCTCAGAGCAACCATCTGCATGTTTCGTGAACATTATGAAATGAAATCATGTTTTGGAGGCAAAAAGGTCAATATTTTCAGATCTGTCAGGTGTTCTAATAATTTTGGCCACCACTGTATAATAATTAATAGTTAGCCTATTCGGTAGTTATGCTCAATAGTTTATAATAATAATTGAATAGTTTAGAATCATAATGAACATGTCGTTGTTGGTGTTGTTAGCGATAATAATAAACCGACACCAATGTTTAATAGATAATAATAATTATTATTATTCTTGTTGTTTATAATAATAATACCTCAGACTTATTGCTTTTATAATGTGGCAACAACCACAAAATGCTTATTATTATGCAATTATATATTATTATATAGGCTATTGTATTATATGTTACTAATGTATTGTTGGCTATTGCTGCAAACATACCCCAGCGACTTAAGACTGCTTTTGTGCTCCAGGGTCACATATGTTATTATAATTTTTGTAAGTTACAGGCCGCATGTAACGGTGTTCTTCTTACTGCAGCTAAATTGTTCTTAAAGGCACAAAAACACCCTTTATTTGTGGTAAAATCACTGTAACACAGGGCTTTATTAAAGCTGCTGTAAGCATTTGCCTCAGTCGTCCGTTTGAGGCATTAAAGTAGCTATCTGTTCCCAGCAGTCTGTGCGCTGGTGGTGACCTGGACTCTTGGCGGTCTCTCCATCAGTTTCAGATGAGCCAAACAGACTCGCGCATGTGAAACGGGCTGCGGTTCACCGGCGTCACTCCCCCCCGCGCCCCGCCGTTACGAGCGGAGTCCCACAGGTGCAGCCTTTCACGGGAGGGATACGGGGCTTGTCAGGCCATCGCTGCTTTGAGTTATAGCTCGCTGTCGAGGATCTGCTTATCTGTGAAAGTCTGATTCCCATTCCAGATCGCGGTGGAAGCGATACAGCGGTGCGTTTGAGCTCCAGAGGCAGTCGGATCTTTGCACATATTCGGAATAATGTTGGCGTGAATGTTTGGTTTACATTTCAAGCGTTTATTTGATTTGGCTTTGTAAATACGAAAAAAATATATATATTCAGCAGTATTAATTCAAGTATCAACCTTGCTTTGCAACGCGGAAGTCCGTGCTATTTTCTGTGAAAGTGAGAGGCTTCCGATTCATTAGACGCGAATAACTAGAACAACAGTGCAGCAAACGAGAAATCTGCACAGATCAAGAACCATTTACAAGCCAAAACAGCTCTAAACAAATATGTGGTTGGATTTTGATGTGAGAGGACCATAGGAGATGGATTTGTTTTTAGTGGAGGAAGCGTTATTATGGATTATGAACTCATATTTTGGCCAGGAGTGACGGCACCCATTCACTACAGAGCATCCATTGTTGAGCAAGTGATGGAATGCTAAATGTCTCCAAATCTGAAGAAGAAACAAACTCATCTACATTTGGGATGGCTTGAGGGTAACTTGATAAAAACATCACAATAATCCACAAGTAATCCACACCACTCCAGTCCACCAGTTAATGTCTTGTGAAGAGAAAAGCTGAAACAAATCCATCATCAAGATGTTTTTAATTTCAAACCATTGTTTCCATCTAAAATCAGGTCCTCTATCTATAATATTGTTTTCTCCAGTGAAAAGGTCGAATAAGGAGAGAAATCTGCACAGATCAAGAACCATTTACAAGCCAAAACAGCTCTAAACAAATATGTGGTTGGATTTTGATGTGAGAGGACCATAGGAGATGGATTTGTTTTTAGTGGAGGAAGCGTTATTATGGATTATGAACTCATATTTTGGCCAGGAGTGACGGCACCCATTCACTACAGAGGATCCATTGGTGAGCAAGTGATGGAATGCTAAATGTCTCCAAATCTGAAGAAGAAACAAACTCATCTACATTTGGGATGGCTTGAGGGTAACAGTACAATTTCAGCAAATTGTCATTTTTGTCTTCAAACATTCACAAACAGTTGTTTCTTAAGTTTTTCCTGCACAGTAAGATCTGGAGTTTTGTACTTTAATTTCTTGTTGATGCCCATGAGTATCGTAAGTGTGCATATAATCATTTACAAAAAGCTGCAGGCCGCTTAGAAAGTGTTAACCAGAATGTACGTTATCATCCATTAACATGGCCAGCCTGCATGCGCTGTGCAGTTTGTCACGTGTGAGCTGTGTGCCGTGTGAAGGGGAACATGAGTGTTATGTAAACTGTGCAATCTGAGTGCTCGGAGTCTCGCTGCATGCATGTGCTCACATAATTGAAGCATTGAGCAGCCCAGAGTGATAAAAGACATGCATCACTGGATCTTTGTTCGTTTCAGGCCGTGAGCGTGATCGGTTTACAGTGGGCCACTCGCAGACGCCTGCACAGTGGCAGCGGCCGCGCTCTAATGAGAGCTGACAGACGTGACAGAAAGAAAATGTCACAGCAGAGCTGTGAAAATAAACCGCTGCACATGAGAAACCCAAGCTCTGAGCACCTGCTTTCTGACTCAGGTACATTTAATCACCTTTAATCCCATTATGTTCCTGACCAAAGACTGAAACCTGGGGATCTGTTTGATATGCATCACTAAATGTGGAGTTTTTTGGGAATATATGGATAATTTCTCAATTTTACACATTCGTTTTTTTACAATGCAAAAATAAATGTATTTTTGCCTTGTTTCCCAGTATAAAAAATGACAAATATTTAAAAATTCTTAAACATACATTAACTTGAGAAAGAAAATAGCTTCAGATATTAAGTCTTGTTTTCTGAAAAATAAATAAATAAAATGATCAAAATCAAAAATTGTCAATGGAGTAAGAAAAAATAATCTTGTTTTCCCTTTGAATTAAGTTTATTTTTCAGACCCCAATTTCTTGTTTCAAGCATAAACGCACTTAGATTTAAATTAAGTTTTTTTCAGAAAACAAGACTCAATATGATAAGTCATTTTGCTTCTCAAGTAAATGGATCTTGATTTAAGAATGTACAGATACTTGTACTGGAAAATGAGGCAAAACTACTGAATAAGTATTGCATTTTTTGCAGTGTAAGCATGTTTGAAATGTGTTTAAATCTTCTCCAACACTCAAAATGTGTCCATCTGCTAAATGTGTGTTAAAGAAAAACACATCAAACACCCCTTACTTTACATTAGTAATTTTTTTATATTTAGAACGGTCTTCTCCTTTAAAGAATGTATTCTTGTTCTTGTAGATTAAACACTGCTCAACTTGAATCCCCTTTCCTCAGCAAACCCATTTTTATATGCATCAATATATGCATATATTTTTGCATAAACATACATTAACTTGAGAAAGAAAATAGCTTCAGATATTAAGTCTTGTTTTCTGAAAAATAAATAAATAAAATGATCAAAATCAAAAATTGTCAATGGAGTAAGAAAAAATAATCTTGTTTTCCCTTTGAATTAAGTTTATTTTTCAGACCCCAATTTCTTGTTTCAAGCATAAACGCACTTAGATTTAAATTAAGTTTTTTCAGAAAACAAGATTCAATATGATAAGTCATTTTGCTTCTCAAGTAAATGGATCTTGATTTAAGAATGTACAGATATTTGTACTGGAAAATGAGGCAAAACTACTGAATAAGTATTGTATTTTTTGCAGTGTAAGCATGTTTGAAATGTGTTTAAATCTTCTCCAACACTCAAAATGTGTCCATCTGCTAAATGTGTGTTAAAGAAAAACACATCAAACACCCCTTACTTTACATTAGTAATTTTTTTATATTTAGAACGGTCTTCTCCTTTAAAGAATGTATTCTTGTTCCTTGTAGATTAAACACTGCTCAACTTGAATCCCCTTTCCTCAGCAAACCCATTTTTATATGCATCAATATATGCATATATTTTTGCATTCAACATGCTTTAATTTTTATATATTATGCATTCGTTTTTATATATATTAAAACTCCTATAAAAGCATATTAAAGAATCTGAGGTTATCAAGCATCATAGAAACATTATACAACAGCGGTCTAATCAAATGCACTATATTCCAGGTCTGCTAAAGCCATGTGCTTTGTGTGAATGAAATCGAATTCAATATTGCATGAAAATCTTCTGTCACAGCTCTGAAATCTCCATTTACATTGTAGGGAAAAGAGCAACATCTTCCGAACATCTTCTGAGTTGCACAGAAAATGGAAAGCTGTACGAGTTAGAAATGACATGATGGTGAGTAAATGTGACACGATTCCTCTAACGCTTTCAATTACCTACAGCTGATCTTCTTTAACGAACTGCTTTTATTTGTTAGTATAGATGGAATATCAGATGTGATTCGCAAACGCTTTGTCGTCAAAGTGCATGATGGATTTTATCTTAATGCATGTTTCCAGTGATCATCTTTCTAGTCAGTATATCTGTAACTGAATACAAACAATAATCATAGAACATGCCAGCACATGTCTGAAAACATCCCAGCAGTGTATCAGATAATGTGCAATTTCCTCTGCACGTTATTAAAGGTCCTGTTAGAGTTTTATTCCTCGGCTCTTGATGATGTTGTGATAATTGAATGCAGTCTTGAGTTACTGATCAGATTCATTTCATCTGGAAGGATCTTTGCGTTTTGTCGTCGCCAGAATACAAGACATTAAACACACACTGATTGGCTGCTGTATCGTAATTACATTCAGCTATTTTAATAGCATTTTTCTCGTTCCACAAATATCTGCTCTATTCAAACGGGGGTCTGTCATAAGCGCTCAGTGTCTCTGATCGGGACCGTGTTGTCATACAGACGGCGGCGGCTATAAAATTGGAGACAGTCATTTTTTGGGAGGACTGACGCTCATCAAAAGCTCAGTGTCTGTCTTTCTGAGCAGGAAGAGGTCGTGATCGCAACGATTGGCCGTTTGATTTATTAGACACTATGTGAAATGAGGAATGTTTCCTGTGTCCTGCAGCAAACAGACTGTATTTCACATAAAAATCTTTAACTGGAGACTCCAGTAGAGACAGTGTAATTGTTGTTTTGAAACGGGGAAGAATGCAGAAAGCATCTCTCTTCTGCTCTCTACATCTTTTATTCATTTTTAGAAACATTTTTATCCAGCCATCCCTCCCAAAACTCTAAAATCCACCCAAGTAATGGTTTTCAGATGTTTGCAATTACTAAGAATGAAGTATAATTTGAATTTTCACTACAGATGTAAGATTTTTATTTTCTGTCTTTGTTTTTACTGATCAAAAAATACAGTAAAAACAGTAAAATTGTGAAATATTATTACAATTTCAGATAACTGTTTTCTATTTAAATATATGTTAAAATGTAATTTATTCCTGCGATGCAAAACTGAATTTTCAGAATCATTACTCCCAGTCTTCAGTGTCACATGATTTGCTGCTCAAGAAGCATTTCTGATTATTATCAGTGTTGAAAACAGTTGTGCTGCTTCATGTTTTTGTGGAAACTGGGATACTTTTTTTTTTCAGGATTCTTTGATGAATTGAAAGTTCAAAAGAACAGCAATTATTTGAAATTGAAATCTTTTGCAACATCATAAACGTCTTTACTGTCACTTTTGATTCATTTAATGCATCTTTGCTGAATAACAGTATTAAAAATCTGCCCCAAATGTATATTACATATACATTTCTCTGTCAGGCATTAAATTAATTCCTCAAAAAGTCGCACAGTTTGAGATACAGACATGTTGCGTGCCAAACTTTAACACTTTAGGGTCAGCGTTTGTTCAAACCAAGGGAAATTAACTTGGCTGTTTAGATGGTTGGAGAAAGACCATCTCCGCCAAAATAGCTCCTAATGGTTGTGCGTTTCATTTTTTTCTGTACTTTTTCAGGGCTGTCAGTTCAGAGTGTTTGGACTGCAGAGACGAGCTGAAATCCCAGATCTGGATGCGCTCCATCAGGGACCCAATAAAGGCTTTGAGTAATGAACGCAGCGCTTCCTGCACCAGACTTTTATTAGGCTGCGCTCAAGTGCACCAAGTCTCACCATGAGCTTCATCTGTTTCCATGTTCAGCAGACTCCGTGGCTCCCGTTAGCCTTGGACATCACCGATTCGCACAGCCTGCCAGATAATAACCGCTCGTTATGCGCAGGTCAGTTTTCATTCTGATTACAAATCAGTTGTTGTATTAAGACATCCTATGCACTTCTGTCCGACTGCACACGGGGAAGAAATGATGATGAACGTCGGCTCCGGTTGCGTCTGGCCCCTTGAATCGGGAGCGTCACGATGCCATGAAGCCATCGCAATCATCTGGCCGTCTAGATCCAGCGTTAGTGCTCTTTCTCAAAACGAAGTGAGCAATGTAATTTCTCGAACATTTCCATTTGATGTTGTTGTGGTCATGATTATGACTAGTGTCTTTAAATGTCTGAAACACAAAGCAGATTCTTGCAACAGCCTCATAAATCATCAGGAAAGTTATTGACTAATGTGGAGTCTCGAAGGGGGGCAGAAAGCCGCTTGGGAAAGCTGCGAAGGGCTCGTAAAATGTGTAACTTCTTGAAAAGGGTCGGCTTTTCTCATTCAGCACAATCGCTTTCCCCCGACCGCTTCTTCCCAATGTTTGTGCGAGTTTCCCATAAGTGACTCATGTAGAGGAACGCAGCGACTGCAGACGACTGGAGCTTCACACCTCAGTGGCTAAATCAACTGGCAGAAGGAGAGGCTTCCTGAGCAGGTGTCTGGATTTTCACAGGTCCGGCGTGTCGCGTCCCAACAGAGTTCATGATCCGCGGGTTCCAGGCGCACCGGGTCTCGCTGTCACGTATCAAACCTGAGCAGAGCTTTTAGCTGCACTAGTTTGATTTAATGCGTTGTTGCATTCATAAGTAGGCCTACTGCAAAAATGCAATGCATGTTAATTATGTACAGCATGTGCATAAAGCATTCTACATTTGCATACTGCATGTTTCTCGTCTAAGACAGGACAGAGTCCCTACGGAGGATTCTTCATTTAGAGCCAAACGCAGTGGGACGGAGGGTCACGTGACCTGTCTAATAAACATGTCCAGCGCTCTCAATGGGTCACGGATGAGAACAGGCTTTTAAAATACCTTCTCTCTGTTTTGGAGTGATGTGGCCAATAGATAGTGGAGAGATTTACACAGAAGTTATTGAATAAAGCCGTCTTTCACTGAGCTCTGATTGATAAGGATCTCAGAGCAGAACAGACTCTGTGGATATGAACACAGAGAACAGTCTGACCAGGACGAAGAGCCCGGTGCATTATGGGATGCTTGTCCATATCAGCGTCAAATTTCCGATGACCAATATATATAGCCCATAGCCTATACTGATGGCATTTTTAATTAACATCCAGACTGATGTCTTTGGAAAAGCTTTATTTTGATTATCCATGGGAGTAATTTAATATTTAATATTCTGATTGTAATCAGAGTCCGCATAGGTATCCAAATATAACTTACTTGTATGATTTGATCTAACTTACCATTACCACATAATTGAATTCCAGCGAATTCTCGGGAAGTCTTCATATTGATATAATGTTTCCATAACATTATCATGCAATAAGCTGCCAGTTATTTAACATGTTAAACCTGGATGAGTGTAATTTGATTGTGTTTGCGAAGTCGAGCAAGCTTAATTAGTGCTTGTATTTAAGGTTAAGAGACATAGCCTAGCTAGCAACCACTTAGCTAAGCTAGCATCGCGTTCGTAGTTTTTAGCAGCACAGAAACGCTGTAATAACTCAGCTTCACGTGACTCTGAAGTAGCTTGAAAGGTGTTTATTATATTATTATAACCGGAGTATTTAAAAGCTAGAAAGCTTATCCTGGTTAACTGTACTTTATAAAGCTTTTGGAAACTAACAAAGAAATGGCTTTAGTACTGATTTCGTTTTAAGGATCAGTGGTTTGTAAAAATACGTGTGGACACGGCTAATTGCTAAATGAACAAAGAAGTGACGCGTATAATAATAGCGTGTCGTTCTCACGCTAATGAACGCAGCCGCGAGCTAGCCAGTACTATCAAAGCATGTGGGGCAAAGAATATGTTTGTTCATCCGCAGCCTGACTAATTATACGAAAATAACAGCCAAGATGGAACAGCATACCTTTTCTTCAGAAAGAAGGAAGATTTTTGCTTAGCTTGGCATTTGAAACGACTTCTCGATATTTGACACCTCCGCAAAGTCGTTTGCCAAACTGAACCGTAGCCGCGTCCAAAAGCCCAGAGCACAAATACAGCACTGAGCACCTGGGTGTCTTGATGCTTGACAAGAAACAGCCCACAGCCTAAAAAAACCTTCAGCAACCCTCTGTTCCTTTAAACAGGTGGTCCCGGGGCAGGCCGTGTTTAAAGTGATGTTGAGAACTCCTTCAGTAGATTAACTAGTCTGCGAGGAGCGTAACGTGCAGCTCGAGTTTGCATAGCAAAACGCCTAACGCTTTTTGCATTTTACACGTGTTCACTTTATAAAGCAATATATGTAATGTTTATTTTTCATTTATTATTTGAAAAATGTAAGTCTAAATATTAAATACAACTAAATATATACATTGGATACATATATTATGTAAAATTAAAAATATATAAAATGTTTTAATTATTATACTATTATTATATTATTTATATTAATTATTGTATTACAATTTTTTAAATAAATCAATTAAAATAATTAAAATATTTAAAAAATATTTTTAGTTTTAAATAAAATATATAAATTCAATTAAATAATTAAAATATTTTAATTATTAAATAAGTTTAATTTAAAAAATCTATAAAAATTAAATGATGCTAAAAATTCAGCTTTAAAATCACAGGAATAAATTACATTTTAAAATATATTCAAATAGAAAACC